GCGTCGGGCTCTGTGCCGATAGCTCGGAGCCTGGAGCCCGTTTCGGATTCTGTGTCTCCCTCTCTCTCTGTCCCTCCCCCGCTCGCACTCTGTCTCTCTCCCAAAAATAAATAATAAATAATAATATAAAAATAAATAATAAATAATAAAATTATTTAATATAATATTTAATATATTATATTAATATATATACATTATATATATTAATATATATTATAAATATATATATTAATATAATAATAATATTATTTAATAAATAATTAAAAATAAATAAATACATTAAAGTGTATTTTGAGAGAGAGAGGGGCAGGAGGGGCAGAGAGAAGGAAAAAGAGAATCCCAAGCAGGCTGCCCGATATGGGGCTCGATCTCACGAACCAGGAGATCATGACCTGAGCTGAAACCAAGAGTCAGACACCTAACTGACTGAGCCCCCCAGGCACCCCTGGGCTGACACCTCGATTTCTGCCTTGTGAGACCCCAAGCAGAGGACTCGCTGAGCCCACGCGGCCTTCTGACCTGCAGAGCTCTGAGGTAATAAACAGGCGCTGCATTTATTAAGCGCTAACAGAAAACCCAATACACTCAGCCACGACTTGGTGCCAATTAGTTACTTAATTTTTATGGGGCGAGGATGTTTACAGCCCATCCCTCCCGCTGCAGACCCCCGGGGTGGTCTTTGTGCGGCCCAGCCCTGACCTAGCCCACCCCTCTGCCTGCGGCCCTTCTGTGGTTTCCTCGGGCACCGTGGGTAAGTCCCGGCAAGCCTGTGGGATTGGAGCCGACCGATGTCCTCCGTCGCTATGACAGTCTCGCAGGTGAGGGACTCGGGAGGGTCACACCGTGACTCCAGTTCTCGGGAGCGGCAGGAGCTGGGGAAGCAGGGCCCTGGCCGTGAACCCTGGCCCCCTGAGAGCCAGCTGGTGGCCGTGGGCAAGTTCACCTCCCCTCCGGAGGCGGGAGGAGCAGGGGGCCGGCTCTCAGGAGGCACCGCACAGGCCCACACGGGAGGCAGAGAGGCCGCGCTGGGGACAGTGAGAGACCTCCAGCCAGGCCTCGGATGCCCGGCCGGTCTGTCCCCCGACCCCGGCACGCATCTGACTGATAGGACCTCCGTTCCCGTGTCTGTCCGGGTTTGGACTCTGCTGCGGCCTGTGGCTCCGGGGCTCCCGTGTCTCACCAGCACCTCCGACCCGGCGCACGGATGACGGGGATTAATACGATGCAAATTGGTGGGTTGAGCCGAGCACCCTGAGCCGAGGCCTAATTTGCACGCAGCCCGACCCTCCCCGCGGGCAGGCCCCGGAATAATCACAACAACAGTGATGATCCGGATCATTGGCACGTACAGAACCTCTTCAGCTCGGGGCCGTCCATCGGCACTTACGCCCAGAGGAGACGCGGGGTGTAGGGGCGGGGGGCCACCCTCGTCTCAGGGCCGCAGGAGGGGGCCCGGCGAGGTCCCGGGACAGGCCCGAGGTCACGCTGCCGGTGAGAGGCAGGCCAGGGGCAGAGATCTGAGGGCCTCGCTGCCCCGGCGGCCCCTCCTCAGAAGCTCCGCCTTGGGAGACTGGGGTGAGGGCTTTGCTCTGTGGAACGGTCGCTGGAGAGGTAGGGCGAGGCAGCTGAGGCCCAAATAGGGGTCTCCACCTTGCAGCGGCATGATCCCGGCCGCCTAGTCTGTCTGGGATGACGATCTACCTTTTCTCTCGAGTTAAGTGGACAGCTTCTCGGGGCGGGAAGTGCGCCTTCCCTCTCCCCGCTTCCTGGGTGGGCACAGGGTACCGGCTCCGTAAGCATATGCGCTCAGTGTGTGCTCTGTGCCCCACGGCGTCACTTGGATGCGCCCCCGAAATGGTCACTACCATTCCAGAAGTTGCTTCTGCACATTCCTGTCTACGGCTGACAAAACAGGCCCAGAGAGGTTAAGGGACTGGCCCAGGATCACACAGCTAAGAAGCGGTAAAGCTGGGATTTGAACCTGGGTCTGTCCATCCCCTGCCCTGGCCCCGTGCTCTCAGTGCCACGAGGAACAGAGTAGAGAGCCCTGGAACGGGAGCATGTCCTGGCCTTCAGGGCCCTCCGGCTCAGACAGTGTGGGGCTCTGGGGGCTCAGCCGGGTGCCGCTTCTCGCGGGTTTAACCCAGGCAGGTTGGGAGGGGTTGGGAGGCAGGCTGTCTAGGGTTCTAGGGTTCCACAGGCCCCCCCGTGACCTGGATCGGAACTCCAGGCTTCTCTGACTTTGGCCTCTCCAAATATTGTCAGTTGTTTGACTTAGCCTCCCAGAGCCACGTGTCCTTGCAAGATCTCGTGTTTCCGGGGAGGCCCGGGGAAAGTGGAGCCTTTGGTGGTGGGTTCAAGCATCTGTCTGAACTCCGTTCCGGTGAGACTCTGGGCTGTGGGGGGAGGGCCCCGGCCCGGACAGCTGGGCGGAGCCCGTGACCCTGGCCCGGTAGCCCCTGCCCGTCCGGTCGATGTCCCGGCACAGCTTATTCACGGGTCAGCATCCACCATGAGTCGGACCCTCCGGAGGGAGGGCTGCTCAGGAGCCTGAGGGGTGCGGCTGCGGTGAGGAGACTAAGAGGGGGGTCACAGGCTAGGACGCCCCACGGGCCCTGTCCCAGGGCTCTTCTGGCTGAGCAGGGCCAGCCCACCCCCGGCTCCTGTAGAAGGAGGGGAAAGTCCAGCTTCTGGAACCCGATTCGTATACCCCATGCCCAGCCCAGACTCTGCAAATACTCCCTCATGAGCATCCCCAGCCCCCCATAAGGGAGGTACTGTTAGTTTTGCCCCATGTCAGTTGAGGATGGGGGGGGATCAGAGAGGTTAAGTGCCTTGCCCAGGGTCACACAGCAGGTAAATAGAGGCCTGTCTACCCTGTGTTAGAATTCCAAGCTCAGAACCATTCACGCCAATATCCCTCTCTGGGTCAGAGAGAGTGCGGCCTCACTCTGGTGCCCGGGGGGTGCCTTTGTGTCCGTCCTGCCCACAGGGACTAGACCATGGCGGGGCCAGGCTCCCCGCGGTCGCTTCTGTTCAGGCCTCGCGCTGAGGTCTCCCCAGAGCACAATGCCCGGCACCGGAACCCAGAGCGAAGACAGCATTGGCAGCCTTCTCCTTTCAGAGCCCTGTGGGAGTGTCCTGGCCAGGGATGCACCTGCAAAGATAGGACCCCAAACCATGGCCCAGGAGAGGAGCCTTCCAGGATTCGCACCAGGAAGCCCCACCGCAGATGAGCAAACTGAGGCTCAGAAGTGTCCAGTGACCCGCCCAGGGTCATCCGGCACGTTAAACCCTCCCGTCACCTTGGTGTATTTGAATGTGAAAATTACAAACCAGCCGTGGCGCACGACTCCTGGGTCCGCCTCATGTCGCAGCAGGCCCTCGGATAAGTCTCTTTCCCTCTCTGAGCCTCGGTTTCTTCATCTCTGAGATGGGGACGGCAGTTCCTATCTTTCAGGGACCCTGTGATAAACGGCCAGCTGAGGCCATGTTGGGAATGCCCTTGTGTAAAGTCCGGCACACGGCGGGGACCCTGCTTGGCTAACCGCACCCTCTACCCCCGCAGGTCACCTGTGCCTGTAGTTCGGTCTTTCTCTGTCTTCCACCCACAAGGGCACACCAGAACCAGCTTGCAGACGAGCACGCTGGGAGAGGAAGGGGGGAAACAGAGTCATCAAGCACGGCGTGGGGGGACTTTGGGGTACCTCCCCACAGGTGGAGTCCGCAGGGCCGACGATCCGAGAACACCCTTGGCCAAGAGCATGGGGCCTGACGGTCAGAGAAGGATAGGATGGTTGCCACGGATGCAGAGGCCAGTCCGTGTGGGTGCTCTGCCCGTGACGCTGTCGCGGCCGGGGGCTTCCCGAGGGCCGGCCTGGGTCCGACCCCGCTCCGCGTCCTTAGCGTCGCAGCGCAGGGCCCAGCCCCGAGGTGGCCTTCGTTCAAGAAGCTGTGTCTGTGGTTCTAACCGGCCTGGGTGAAGCGAGTCTGCAACTTGGCCCCGATATTTTATTAATAAGCACATTTGGCACTTGCCTCACACCTTTCATCGGCAGCTCTCCTAGGCGTCCCCAACCTTAATTAATTCTCCCCGCACCCCAAGCAAGCTGCTCTCCCTTTGGCAGATGATGATGTGGGAAGTCCTTAAAGGTGCCGTGATTAATCCCACCGTGCAATTAGGTCCCTCTCTTCCCCCGGCAGCTACTCCCTCCCTCTCCCAGCTGTCGCGGGGCCTTGAGACTTCAGACCCTCCCTGACTTCAGACCCCACCAACTCGTGCTGGATTTGGCCTCAGCCACCGCCCCCTCCTCCCCAGCTGTCCCAGTCCCCCCTGTGCCCTTTCCACACGGCAGCCAAGGGGATCCCGCCAAAGCACAACCCCAATCCTGCCTCCTGCCTGCCCCAAGCCCTCCCCTGGCCCCCCAACACCCGTGGACACCCAGCCTTCTTGCACCCAGTGTCTCATAGCCAGCCACCGAGGACACACCGAAGGTCTCCGGTTTTCTCCACGACAGGTTTCTTTCAGGCTCCCGGGCCATTGCCTCTGTGCTGCCTCTTCTAGAATGCAAGTGACTTCTGCAGGAGCTGACACGTAAACAGTGCCCTGGAGACGACTGGCTCCGGCAACCCTTCCTAAAGCGACTGCCTGCGCCCCAAAAATGAGATCGGGGCTCCTTCGGGGATTAATTAATCAATACGTTCCACAGGTACTGATGGAGATTTTGCAGGTGCCAGGCACTGTCCTGGGTGCCCCGGGACACATCCGTGGACCCTGGGCACCTGCGGGCGAGTGGCGAGGATCTCATCACGGCATCGCTTACCTGCCTCGGGGCTGTGGCCCTCCCCCACCTGGCTGCCCGCCCTGGGCCGGGTCCCCCCACCCCGGCTGCCCACCCTGGCCTGTCCCCTTGCCTTCCGGATCAGGGCAGCCCGTGGACCAGGCACTCTGTCAGCCTGTCCAAATTTGAGTCACTTCTCTCTCGGGACAGCAGGGTGACCTTGCCTGTGGGCCCCGGGAGCTAAGAATAGCCCGGGGAGCTGAAAACCCGCCGTCGCCCCTCCCAGCCCTGTGTGCGGCCGGGGCGAAAGGACCCTGTCGCCCGCGGAGGGGACAGCTGCTCCCGGCATGTTTGGGCGCGCGGCTGAGCCCTGCCAGCTGTTCGGAAGAGGAGAGGAGCCAAAGGAAGGGGGGAGTTTCCGACTCCAAAAGTGCCGAGCCCACGCTTGGCCGCTGTGCCGCCTGGAGTACCGGGAAGGTGCCCGAGCCCTGGCTCTGCCTGTCGTCGGTGAGTGACCTTTGGCAAGCCACCTCCGCCTCCCAGGTGAGGAAATGGCACCCTTGCTTCAGCCTGGGGAGCTGGTCCACGGCCCCTCCCTACCCTGCGCCTCCGAAGCACCTAGCAGGTGCCCGGTGTGGGTCTCGTGCGTCCTCGTGGAGGGGCAGGGTGCGGAGACTGGCACACAGGTGAGCTCCGCAGGGCCGGGCTGGCCGGGACAGGTCATGGCCATGCTCTGTGTCCCCGAGGGGCAGGGCTGGGGCCGGCAGGGAGACCGTGTGGGCCGACTGGGAAGAGTAACCCCAACCAGTGGAGCTGAGACGGTCCCGTCGGGTAGAGAGCTCCCCGTTTCTAGGGGCTACCAAGTGTTAGCTGGTCCTCTGCTCTTAAGGGGGATCGAAACAGTGACTCACACATATGTGGGCCGATGTCTCCTCGGGGGTTTCATGACGCTGGGGTTTATCTGGACCCGGGGCCAGTAGGGGCAGGCTGTGTAGACTGTTGGCTAAAAGCCGATGTGCATCTGCCAGGCTGCTCCCGGGCCCCCCTCCATGTTTCCACTGCCCCAACAGGCACGGGAAGGGAGACGGGACGGGACGGGATGACGGTGGCCCTGCAGACCCCCGTCCTGGCCCCCAGAGCTGGGCGGGGGGACGGACGTAAAGCCACGACCACAGGCCGGGCGAACGTGGACGGGGTGGATCTGATCCCCAGATGTGGCCAGAGGCCTGTGGGCTCATCTCAGGAGCCAGAGAGGACGAGGCAAGGCCGTGACTGGAGCAAGAAAATGCTTCCCGTGCCGCTGGGCTCTGGGCGAGCGATTCACTGGCCAAATTCGCCCGGTCTCACAGAGGCGGAGCCTGAGGCTCCCAGAGGGTAGGCGAGAACTCCCCACGATGGGTGCACCTTGCGGGTTTACTGGAGGATACGAGGCAGGTGGCAGCGGGGTGGGGTTGGTGGTAGGGACCCGGGGGGCTGTGGTTCTCCTGTGGCTTCCTTGCTTGAGGGGGAAACACGCAGACCTCTGGCTCTGTTCAGGGCCCTCGGTCCCTGTCCGCCTCCTGAGGTCATGCAGTTGTGGCTCCCTGTCCTGCCCATCAGGCTGGGGGCGGGGCTTATGCCTACCTGGGCCTTCATTCCGGGTCTCAGGGACCCTGAGGCGCCTCTGTCAACACGGAGACGCATGAGGTGAGCACGGAGAGGTTTAGACCGTGGGCAGGGCCTGGCGGGGTCCCCTCCCGGTCCCAAGTCTGGCCTCAGAGGCCTAACGAGGGACCCTCCGCTTGCAGCTAAATTCTCGTTGGTGGCGAGCTGGGGCGGCCCCGCCCCTCCCCTGCACTCCCTGTGCCTCCCGGCGGGTAGCAGGTGCTCACTGGCTCCTGAGAACCCTCCGGGGCCACTCAGTGGTGGCCACAGGGCTCCTAAGGGTGCCTCTCGGCACGCAGAGAGCACCTGACCTGCGCGCAGCCCTCGCGTAGAACTCACGGCAGCCAGTGGGGCCACACGCTGGAGACACGAGCTGGCCACAGGCTGGCTTGTCCAAGAAGGCCCAGCGGCCGTCGGGAGAACCAGCTTTCTAAGCCTCGGTGCAGGGCGCCGGGGGGGCTCAGCGGGTTGAGCATCTGACTCTGGCTCAGGTCATGACCTCATGGTTCGTGAGTTCGAGCCCCGCGTTGGGCTCCGTGCTGACAGCTCGGAGCCTGGAGCCTGCTTCAGATTATGTGTCTCCCTCTATCTGCCCCTCCCCTGCTTGTGCGCGCGCTCTCTCTCTCTCTCTCTCTCTCGCTCAAATATAAATAACCATTAAAGTAACCTTAAAAAATAAAATAAACCTCAGTGCAGTCACAGAGGCTTTTGGGTCATTTGAGGACCAGAGACTCACGCAGTCGAGATATCTGGGGCAGAGCTGTGACTCAAATGCCCCTCTGCTTCCCAGTCTACTCGCGGCCAGCAGCCCGAGGGACCCCTTCGCTCCCGGGTGCTCAGGCTCACCACGGCCCCATCCCAGCCAGAACCAAAGCAGGCTCGTAGCCTCCCTTCTCTGCAATACTCTCTCTCTCTCTCTTTTTAAATGTGTATTTATTTTATTTTTGAGAAACACAGAAAGAGAGAGAGAGAGACAGAGGCAGAGAGAGACAGAGAGAGAAAGAGAGAGAGAGAGAGAGAGAATCCCAAGCAGGCTGTGCTAACAGCACAGAGCCCGAGGCGGGGCTCGTTCCTTCCCGGGTCTGTTTTTGCAGAAGCACCTCCCTGCCCATCTGGGCACTTTTGCTCCTTTGTCATGTTGTTACAAATACGCCCAAGTTCTGGAGGGGGGGGGGGATCCTGTATCTGCTGGCTCCCTGCTGTGCCTCGGGGGGGGGGGCCTGGCACACAGTAGGCCCTTAGCAAAGCTTTGCTGAACGCTCGGGGACATTTTGCAGAAATGTTAGGCAGCTCGCCTGCTGCTCCCGACTGTGCCAGTGTTTTTAATATTTTTGTTCCATTTATCAGAAATCAAGCCTACGTCAAGCACGGCAATACATCTAAATTGGTTGATTAAAGCATCAGGAAGAAAAGTGGTGCTTTGCGGCAATTAAACCAAAGCCACGGGAAGATTTGGAAATATTGTGATCTCTTCTGCGGTTTTTGCAAATAGGGTTTCTCTTCCTAATGAGTCCGTGGTCTCTGTTTCATTATTTCTGGGGTTTTTTTTTTTTTCCCCTCCGGCTCCTCCCCGCCCAGGGTTGCGGGATACACTGTTACAGAAAGTGACTTTCAGTCGTGACCACGCAGCACTGTTTGCTTTTGCCGATTTGGGAGCCCAGGCTTATTGTGCAGCCAGGAAAGGCCTGGGGGCCTGGGTGTGACTCAGGGGTTGGGATTCAGAGGTTGAGGCGTCTCTCACCATCGCATGGAGGGATCAAGGGGAACCAGCCTGGCTGGGCCAGAGGCTGCGTTACATGAGGCAACCCGCGCACCTCTAAGACCTCCTTTCCTGTGCCTTTCTCATGTGTCCCTTTCCTCTACTCCACTGTCCTCCTTGCTACTCCCGGGACGTGTCTCGCACACGCCTGCCGCAGGGCCTTTGCACGGGCTGGTCCTGCTTACTAGCTAGTTCTGCTGTCCCCCAAAATCTCCGCCCACCCCGGGCTCCTCCTCCCTTCCTGCCTTGGCTGACACACATGCCCTCCCTGAGGCCCCCTCCTCTCCTGACACTTCCTACCTGCCTTCTCGGCTTCCCCCCCCCCCCCAGGGGTTTGCTGTCATCTGCTACATTGCATGCGTACTTGCTGCTTTGCGAGGCGGGAACAGGTTTAAGGGTTCTTGAGGAGGTGGGGGTTCAGATCTGAAGGCTGAGGGAGGCACCAGGGCCCCCTCCGGGTTTAACGGTGACTCCAGGTGGGGCCACTTGCCCCGATGGAGAACCCAGGCGACACTTCCCTGACCAGCCGCTGGTGTCCACAGTGTCCCCATTGTCCTCCCCGCCGCCGGCCTGTCCCCAGCGCCCACCTGGCACTCAACCTGACCTCACTGATTCCATGGTTGGCCCAGTTTCCCGGACCCCCACCTGGAGTCACCGTTACGGGTTGAATTCGACCTCCAGAACCCACAGGTTGAAGTTCTAACGCCTCAGAATGTGGTACTTTGGAAATACGACTGTTGCACATAGAATTAATGACGGGACCATAAGGTCATTCTGGAGTCCGCCCTAATCCGAGAGGACCGATGTCCTTATGAAGGGGAAATTTGGACCCAGACTCATTCACAGGGAGGTCACGTGAAGCCAGAGGCAGAGATCCGGGTGATGTGTCCACACACCAGGAAACTCCCCACATTGCCAGCAAACACCCCCCACCCCCTGCCTCCCCAGAAAGGGCAAGAAGCCCGGGCAGATTCTCCCGCTCAGCCTCAGAGGGAAGCAGCCTGCCCACACCTTGGCCTCAGACTTCCAGCTTCTAGAACCGTGAGAGCATAGCTTCCCGTTGTTTGGGGCCCCCTCCCCTTGCCCCGGCCGTGGTGCTCTGTCACAATGGACCCTGGGACACCACCCACGTGGCCCCACTCGCCCGCACGCCCCTTCCAGCACCCCCCCCCCCCGGAACCCCTCTCCAGGGCCACCCTCGCTCATCAAAGGAGTCAGTTCTCTGAGTCTCCGGGTTCCTCGTCTGAGAAATTAGGATAAGAATACCCACCTCCCACGGCTGTCACGAGCCCTCAGCAGAAAACGCTGGAAAACACACCTGGCTCATCGTAGGGCTCAGTGACGGCTGGTGGCAGTGGTGTGCTGGTTATTTTTATTATTGGTGTATTAATAGCGTTCTTGTAATTAGCAGTCAGTTGCCGGGTCCGAGCCGGCCCTTGTGGGGATAAAAGTGCCTCGCGATTGGGTCTCTGCCGGCACCGCGTGTGGGGCAGGAAGCGGCCTGCCGGAGGGGGGAAGGGCTGTCACGCCATCATTTATTCAGACGGACCGTGGCCGCCTCTCTGTTCAGACACATCTGCCCCTAAGAGGGAGATGCCAGCAGCCAGCGCAAGGCAGCAAGATCAGGGCGCCGTCGAGGGGGCCCTCAGCCGGCCTGGGGACGGGGGTGGATGCAAGGAAGGCTTCACAGAGGAGGTGACTTTCGAAGGAGGCATAAAAGGAAAGGAATCCATGCACCTGGCCCCAGCGCCTGCATCGACAGTCGTCCCGTGACCCTGCAGGAAAAAACACACCACTCACGCTTGTCTGTCCCCCGGGAGAGCTCAGGCCGTCACCCTTGCAAAGTCCCGCTGCCCCCAGGCCCTTCCCTCTAAGTCAGCCAAGGCAAAGACCGCAGGTTGCCCGCAAGGCCCTCCGGTGAGAGGGTCACCTTCCAGCCAGTTCCAAGAAGGCTGCCTGCCTGAGGGTACGAACATGAAAACTCCGGACAAACGTCTAAAACATGTCACAGACTCCCTGCCCTGCTCTTTCAGTTGGGGGTGGGGGGGGAAGGGGGACAAAAGGCCAAGCCAATCTTGCTGAGGACGCACACCCCGCCGGGGCCGAGCCCAGACCGTCCAATACCTTCCCGGTCCTTCCGCTTGATGTCGGCCCTGCGGCCGGCCACCTGCCTGTCCTTTTGAGCACTGAAATCGAGAGATAAATGGGGAAGCAGAGCCGGGCAGATGTCACCGTTTCTGAGAGCTGCTGCTCCCTTACCACCTGGGATTTTGTTTTCCCCCTTGGAAGCCAGAACATTCCAGCGGCGTGGAGTCTTTGCTGGCAGATTTAAGGCATCTCGTAAACAGGCGCCTGAGGCGGACAAAGAGATACCTGTTTGCCGAGCGAGCACCTGTTCTGCTCGGGGAGCTGCCTCCTATGCTGTGGGCGTGGTTTCTTCTCTCTTCTCTACCCATTTTACAGATGTGGTTGAAGGTGCAGGGAGAGCCCCCTGCGCGGGGAGCCAAGAGGTGAAGTCAGGGCTCTGAACGCCAAAGCTTGCTGCAGACCGGGTCAGAGTAAGATTTCAGGGATGGGCAGCTTTGCCGGGGAGGTGGCTGGGCTGGCGGAGGCCGGGGCAAGCGGGGGCGGGGGGCTTGGGTTAAAGAGAAAAGTTGCACCAGATGCTTGTTGCAAACGGCAAGGAAGATTTTATTCAAGACTATTATTGCTGTAAGGGTCAAGAGATTGAACTCCATTCCAAATACAGCAAAGACAGCTGGAGATTTACAGCCGTGGAGCAGAGCGGGGGGTCACCGGATGGAAAATTACTAAGAGGGGCTTGATTACACATCAGGGAGAGGGGGATTCCTGCTAAACGGCCCCACAGAATTCTTCCTAGGGGCCGAGGACTTCGATAGCGAGGGCGGGGGCTGAGGAACAGAGAGATCCTGGATAAAGCGGCTTAGCGAGATTTCTTTGCCGAAGCTGGACCCGGGCCCAGCGAGGCCTGGGACACTGGCGCCGCCTGGGGCACCTGCCTGCTCCCCAGGGGGCCACAGCGCAGTTGATGCTAAGCGCTCTAGTGGCCACAGAGCTAAGCCCGGCTCATCCTGTTGATGATGAAGACAAAGGAAGAGGAAGAAGAGGAGGAGGGGGGCAAGAATTAGGTCCCCCCACCCCAAGCCATGGCTCCCCGGCCTGACCACTGGGCTCTGCGAGGCTGACTGAAGGGGAGAGACCTCATCTACACCCCCATGAGCTGCACGGGGGTGTGTGCAAGGGGCCTGGGGCAGTCTGGTGATGACACACTTAAACGCCTTTTCTGTTTTGAAAAGAATTTCTCATGTCACCTCTCCCTGACCCTCTCATAGCTCTTAGAAGGCCCCGTGTCTAGTCCCGTTCTGTGGATGCAGAAACTGAGGCGGGGAGGCTGAGAGAGGCCAAGGGGTCCGCCTGGGGCTCGCAGCCGGCAAGGAACTCGGGAGATGTGAGTCTGGGCCTGGGGACCGTGCGTCCAGCTCTCTGGCCACGAGTCCTCACCCGCAGTTGGGGGGGTGGGGGTGGAGTGGGGGTGCGGGGAAGGCATTTCAGGGAGTCGGACAGCTCAGGCCAAGGCTGGGAGGCGGGAAGGGACACGAACCCTTGGGGGGTTGGGTAGGAGCGAATGTTCGGGGAGCACAGAGCGGAACCGGGAAAGCTCTTTTCCTTTTTGGGAAAAGCGTCCCTGGGATGAGGCCAGGGCCACCCAGGTACACGAGCGACAGAGCTCTAAGTGTGATGGGAAATTCCTGCCCCTCCCCGCCCCCCGGCTGCGCGCCATAATTTGACCCTGACTGAGTTTCTCCATCTGTCAGGTGAAGCCCCTGATGCCGATTAGCTGAGAACCACAAAGGAGCAGCAGCCCGTGAAAGGGGCACAAAATCATGGCTCCTCCCCCGGGGCGATCGCCACCCCGCAGCCTGGGGGGCACCCCGAGCTCCGACACAGCAGGGCCCGGCTGGTCACATGGCATTTGGCAACACAGTGCCAACGGGGACAGAGACAGACGGGCTTGCCGCTGTGGGTCCCCGCCCTGCGGGCTGTCCGGGCACGCTGTCGACACCGGGGACCCCAGGGGTGAGGCCTTCAGAACTGGGGCCAGTGTCCTCCACGGGCGCTTCTGCGTGACGAGGTGACAGGCTGGAGCCGCTCGCTCGGATGCAGGCAGGCGAGAACATGTGGGGGCCAGATTTGCGCCCCACCAGAAACCCCTCCAAGCTCCGTCGTGACTCAGTTCCGGGACAGCTGGGGGCTCGGGACGTGGGGAAAGGTCAGCCCCGCCCAGGCCCCAAACCAGAGGGGAGGGCGGCCCGGCTCTTGGCTGGGCGTCCTGGGTGTTCAGATGTGTGGCCAGCCGCCCTCCGGCAGAGCGGGTGTGTTCCTCCAGGGCAGCGACAGTGCCTCGTGTCACCCAGGATTCGACCAGCGGTGAGTGGACCGGGGCTGCGGGCCGGTCGCTGTGGCTGCAAGACCACTAGGTGTCAGTTCTCTGTCCCCGAGCGGGCTCCAGGACTGGGCAGCTGGCCAGTGCCTGCAACCTGATGTAAGGCGACTGACCGCGTCGTGGCCCCTGCAGGCAGCTTCCGGAACTTTCCCGGACCACTTTAGGAAGCCGTCGTGGCACGGCGGAAGGCCAACAGGCTCCGGAATGTGCCAGGCCTGGGTCCCAGGGCTGTCTCGGCACCTGGCTGGCTGTGTGGCCGAGGGAAAGTCAGGGTCTCTCCCAGCCTTGGTTTCCCTGTACGAGGCAGCGCTCTTGGTGGTGCTGGGAAGGGGCATTCTGTTTTGGCTTTTCTTTTTTGAAGTTTATTGACTTTGAGAGACAGAGCGTGACGCACGCACGTGGTTGGGGGAGGGGCAAGAGAGAGGAAGAGAGAGAATCCCAAGCAGGCTCTGTGCTGTCAGCTCAATCCCAGGACCCTGGGGTCACGCCCTGAGCCGAAATCAAGACTCGGACACTTAAGTGACCGAGCCCCCCGGGCTCCCCGAGGGGGGTGGCCGATCTCACAGGGGTTCCCGGGGTAGTGGTCCTGAGACTCATGACGGGTGCCCCATAAATTCTAGAGTTACGAGCAATCACCAGTGTGCTCCCAGCTTGATTGTGAACCTGCCCTTCCTGTGTGGAGCCCTTGGACCTGAGTCCTAAGCCCTTGAGTCCTAAGCCCTCGGACCTCAGAACGTGACTGTATTTGGAGGCAGGGTCTTCAAAGGGGTCGTTAAGTTCAATGAGGTCATTAAGGAGGCCTTAATCCGATAGGACTTATGTCTTTATGAAAAGGGTTTAGGACGCAGACCCGCCCAGGGAGAGGATGGCCATCTGGAAGCCAAAGAGAGAGACTCAGAAGCCGGCCCTGCAGACACCTTGACCTTGGACTTCCTGCCTCCAGAGACAACAGATGACGGCTCTTCACCCAGAGGATCCCAAATGCTCAATGGCTCCCGGCATCCCTGACGGGGGCAAAGCCAGAGTTTGCTGCCCCCGGGGCCGGGCGTCTGCCCCTGGGGGCCGTTTGCAAGGAAGCATCTGGGCACAGATGTTATTGTGGGCACAAATCATGGGCAGAAACGGCCAAGTGAGCTGTGCGGGTCCGCTCCACGGAGGCCCGGCCCCGATGGACCCTCTTTCTAGGCTATCTGTGTGTTTCTCCTACCACCCTAAGTGAGGCAGAGAGTTTTGTCTCTATTTCGCGAGTCTAAAGAGCAGGTCTGGGACCACTCAGCCAGAGGGCGGCAGTGCCTGGGGCGACCCCGGAGAAGGAAACACACGGGGCGCGGGGGCGGGGGTGGGGGTGGAGGGAGCCCAGCCCGGGGCACTGACGGGAGACAGGCGGCCCTGAGGGCGTCCACGCAGGTTAGGGCGGTGGGGTCACGGGAGCTCTCGAACACTCCTCACCCGCTGTTGTGCAGTGACAGCGTGTTCGAGGCGCGTGAGGCCTGGGGCAGCCCCAGCCCCCTGGAGGGGCCAGCCGCTGGGTCAGGGACACTGGCCCGGCTGGTGGGGAGGGTTCCCTGCGGAGCGGGCTGGGCGGGCGGCACCTGGACAGCACCCGGCGCTCTTCTAGGGCCTTCCGGAGTCCTTCTCCGGCTCCTGCCTGGACCCCCTTCGGCCGACGCTGAGTCGGCCCTGCTCGGGGGGTGCTGGGGGACGCAGGGCCAGATGGTGGCCGGATTAGAAGACGGGTGGGTCCTAGAAGCCGGGGCAGAGGGCAGAGCATGGCCCAGAGGCTGCAGGCTGCGGAGCTTGTGGGGGGTGTCTCCAAAGACTGCTCGGGGGGGGCCCGGCCCCAGCTCACGGCCGCCTCTCCTCACCGCCTGCCCGGCAATGAGACAGAAGGGGGACAGAGGAGAAGCCAAGCAAGCCCCTGGCCCCTAAACCAGCTGAGCTGAGCTGTCGCAGGCGGGAACTTTAGATTCCATGAGATTCTCCTGCTAAGTACCTTGCGATGCGTGTGCGAATGTGGGAAGAACGAGTCTCTCGAATAAATAAATAAACTTTTTTTTTTTTTTTAAAGAATGACGCTCTTAAAAAAAAAAAAAGAAATTCGGCAGTTTGGCCCAGGTGGACCCTAAAAAGGATGGCGTCTGTGAAAATGGAGTAAAGACAGAAGTGCTCCTGTCTCAAGCCTTTGCTCAGGCAGCTGGCGCTCCAGGGGCGCCCTCCCCAGGCCTGGGCCAGCTGGGCGTCTACACGGCTCCCCGCGGTGTAGACCCAGCCTTCCCGGTGGATCACAGATCTGCAGGAAGGGACCTCGGGGTCTTCCTCTGGATCCAGCCCGAGGCTCTGATGCCTGGCTAAGCCTTCCCCGACCACCCCCTGCGGGGGCTCTTGGTGCTTCTGCACCTGATTCCCGTGCCTTGGCACGAGGTGGGAGTGCCACAGGAATGCGTGATTCCTGCCCGTCACCCAGATGGGAAACTGAGCCTCAGGAGGAGCCACCTGCATGGGGCCAGACGTGGAGCTGGCTCTTGCGGGGCCCCTCCCGGCTCCCCGGGTCTCAGCCCCGGCACGGGGGCCTGGGGACACTCTCCGGGAGCAGAAGCGGGTCCGAATCTGCGTGTGACCCAGCGGCTTGCAGGACTCGCTCCTCACTGAATGAGGGCGCAAAGGAACGGACCCCGGTTTTTGGGGAGCAGCGATAAAAATAAAAGGACAAAACCGACTCCTCCCCCAACCGCCACGGGTGGGGTTCTCCTGCCGCCGCGTCAGGGAGCCTCAAGTGCAGACTAGAGCCAGGCCCGGTCTCCACAGGCCACCGAGGCACAGGGAGGCTAAGGGACGCCCCAAGGTCACCCGGCCGAGCTAGGGCCGGCCCCCACGTGGACGCAGTCGCCAGCATCTCCTGGGGACCTCCCGTGACCCGCAGCACCCCTGCACCAGCAGACGGAAACTCCGTTGATGGACCAGGCAACCCGCAGCCTCAACCGGGAGACTTTGCTCCCGAGAGAGGCAGATGTCCCCCCCCCAAAGCCTCTTGCTGTGTGGTGCTGTCACGCGGCCGAGGAAGCAGCTCAGGGAGGCGGGAGGCTTGGGCTCCAGCAATCACGTCACCGAGCGTGGACCTACGCATACCCTGCGCGCCAGACACGGTTGTACGCGTTTTGCACAAGTCACTGAATCCTTCCCCCAACCCCGGGACGGAAGGACAGCGAACGGACTCACCCTGCAGACGGGAGACCCAGCCCCAAGAGGCCGGGGGTGCCCCCACCCCCAGGATCAGGGAGAGGGAGGGGGCCACGCAGGTGGCACAGTGCTCCTTCCCTCCCCTCGGCTGTCTTGGGCATCCGTGACTCAGTTTCCCCACTGTGAAGGGTCTGGGGGGTCGGCAGCCCTCTCTGGTCTCTGGCACTCTGAGACCCCACCCCCAGCTCCTCCTCGCTGCTGGCCTCCGGCAGCCCCTCGCCCCCTCGTCACCTCACGCTGGACGCCCTCTCGGAGTGGAGTAGGCTGGGTTTGTGAACAGATTTTCGTGTTTAGAGCATTTTAGGCTCACAGCTAATGAAGCGGAAGGTACAGAGTTTCCTACATATCCCCGCCCCCGCCCCCGCCCATTATCGACACCCTGCACCAGAGGGGGACATCTGTCACCCGAAGCCCAGCAGGGTTTGCTCTTGGTGCTGTTCCTGCCGTGGATGCAGACAAACGTACGACGACACGCGGCCACCATTACAGGGTCCCCGAGTCTCGCTGTCCCCAAATCCTCTGTGCTCTGCCTGTTCATCCCTCCTCCCCCATCACCCTGGCCTGACTGGTCTTTTTAGTGCGTCCATAGGTTTGCCTTTTCCAGAAGGTCACAGACCTGGAATCACACAGTCTGTGGCCTCGTCAGATGGGCCCTCACTGAGCAACATCGGCTGGGTTTTAATGGCACCTTGGCTGGGGGGGGGGGGGGTTGCGAGCTTGCGTGCCCCCCACCCCCAATACCACCAACCACCCAAGACAGGATGCCCAAGGCCACTTGAGAAGATGGCTCACCTCCCACTTCCCCTACCCCTTCTAACGAACCCTACCCTCATTTTCTAGAAATAATAATGATCTGGGGTGCCGGGGTGGTTCAGTTGGTTAAGCGTCCGACTCCGGCTCAGGTCACGATCTCGCGGTCCGTGGGTTCGAGCCCCGCGTCGGGCTCTGCGCTGACAGCTCGGAGCCTGGAGCCCGCTTCGGATCCTGTGTCTCCCTCCCTCTCTGCCCCTCCCTGCTTCTGCTCTCTCTCCCTCCCTCCTTCTCTCTCTCTCTCTCTCAAAAATAAACATTTAAAAATTAAAAAAAAAAAAAAAAGAAACGATAATGATCTTAGATTGCAAAAACGGCCACCTCTTCTCTCCCTGCCTCTTCCGTTGATCTGGGTAGTCCCTCCCCTCACCGAGGCTGGGCTTGCCCTTGGGACTTGCTTTGGCCCAGGGGACACGAGCAAGGGCGGAGAAAACAGAGGCTTGGAAACCACACGTGCACCGGGGTTTGCCCTTGTGTCGTACTTGGGATGTTGAGAGCAGCAGGTGAATTGGCCCCAGCTCATTTGTTGGAGAGGCCACGTTGCGGGACGAAGGTGCCTGCGCACCACCGGTCAAGTGAGCGAGGCCACCCTAGGTCACTCTATCGGCAGTCAACCTGCCAGCTGACCGCAGGTGTGTGAGGGAGCCCAGCAAGAATGAGCTCAGCTGACCCAGACCCAGAACTTCTCAGCCAACCCCCAGAGTCATGAGCTAAGTTGTTGCCTTTTTTTTTTTTATTGTTTTTTTTCAACGTTTATTTATTTATTTTGGGGACAGAGAGAGACAGAGCATGAACGGGGGAGGGGCAGCGAGAGAGGGAGACACAGAATCGGAAGCAGGCTCCAGGCTCCGAGCCGTCCGCCCAGAGCCCGACGCGGGGCTCGAACTCCCGGACCGCGAGATTGCGACCCGGCTGAAGTCGGCCGCTTAACCGACTGCGCCACCCAGGCGCCCCTGTTTCCTTTTTTTAAGTTGTATTTATTTTGAGAGAGAGAGCGTGAGCAGGGGAGGGGCAGAGAGACAAGGAGAGAGAGAGAGAATCCGAAACCCTGTGGGCTCGGAGCCCTCTGCAGGGCTTGAACTCACGAACCACGAGATCACGACCTGAGCCAAAATCAAGAGTCCCACGCCTCACCGACTGAGCCACCCTGGTGCCCCCAGCCGTTGTTATTTTTAAGCCACAAAGATTTGGGGATGGTTTGTTACACAGCAGAAACTAACTGATACAGCCAGTAATATCTGATTTGAGAATTGGACACTGGGTATGGTATTCAAAACTTCTGGGTACCCGGGGAGTCGCTTTCAGCGCAGACTTGCCTGGAAATTGCTCTCCACGTCAAGAGCTCAGAGCGCAGTCCAGCCTCGTGTGCCCACGGCCAGCTGCCCGCCCCTGCGGGGCTGGGCCTCCGTGAGTTTCAGGACCTGTCCCCGGGCGGCTGTGCGCCCAGCTGGTCTGGCAGGCTGGGAACAGCGCCTCCTGCAGGTAAGCGGCCGGTGACGCCTTCACAGGGAGCCTCCCAGGTCGCTGCGCTCACCGCAGCCACCCCCTGCCACCCTGGCCACCCCCCGCTCTGCTGCCATTACTTTTCACGGCACTTGCGATCGCCTGGCATCTGGTGCCATGGCCGCCCCCCTCCCCCCCCCCACGCCACCTCTGCCGGGATGTCAATTCCACGAGGACAGGGATGCTTGTCTGTTTTGTTTCTCCACCGTGTCCCCACTGTCTGGAAGAGTGCCTGGCACGTCATGGGTGCCCCGTGACTGTTGGGTAAATGAACCAGTAAAATAAGATGATTTTGAGCCTCACCCCATCTTTCCAGAAGGGCGGACAGAACCCTATTCTGCCAGTAGGAGAAACGGAGGCCCCCCCCCAAAGGAGCAGCTTGCCTGAGGTCACGTACAAGTAAGCGGCGAGGCAAGTTGGAGCCCAGAGCCCAGCCGGCCAAGGCCAGGGACCCTCACGTGCGTGTTCAGCAAACGCTCGTGGAGCCCCGATCATGCGGCAGGCGCAGTGCTAGTCAGGGGGATATAGCAGTGAGCCAGCTCCTTGTGGAGTTTGCGGGCCCGGGGGAGATGAGGGGACACCAAACGGTCATCACCAATAATGTACCGTCGCAAGCTGATGCGTGGGGAGCTTGACCCGAGCAAAGGATGTTCAAGCTGAGACCTAAATGGTGGGGAGAATCAACTGACCACACGGATGGGGTGGGGGGGAGAAAGAGCATTCTCAGGCTGGGGAACAGCTTGTGCAAAGGTCCTGGGGCAGGACCTCGGGATGTATTTGAGGCAATGAAGGACTTTCAGGGTGGCCCAGAGGGAGGGGTGTTGGGTGGCCAAGAACGGGGCAAGAACCCGTGGGGCCTTGGTGGCCACACTGAGATATTTGGTCTTGACTGAGGGTAGCTGGGTCCCTTGAAAGTTTTATCTGGAGTGCGGTCACCAGGCCTGAGGCCCTTAGAGCTGGACACCAGGGGACTCTTTTGGGCCACTAGCTCTGGTCCCCTGGCAGCCCAGGTCCCGTCGGGCTTGCAGGCCCTCGTAAGGAACACCCAAACCTGATGCCGTGGGCTCGTGCTGTGAGCATGACCCACGGATGCCTCCAACACTGGGAACCAGTTTGCCGTGGCTCTGTGGCCAGAAACCGGCTGGAGGTGCCCTGTGTGAGGGCAGCAGCACACACAGTGTGCCTCGAAGGATGGCCTCGGGGGGAGTGACAGGCTTGGGGACACATTTCAGGGTCTCGGGGACGGCGGTGGGCCGGGGCGCCCACCCAGTGAGGGAAGCACATCTCTGGATCAATCACAAATACTCGCTAAGCTCCTGTCCTGGGCTGGAAAGGGTCCCCCCCAGATCCTTGTCCGCCTGGAACCTCAGAACGTGACGTTGTTTGAAGCTAGGCTATTTGCAGACGTGATTGGTTCAGATGGAGGGCCATCCTGGAGCAGGGTGGGCCCTAATCCGGTGACCGGTGTCCTTCTAAGAAGGCCCCGTGGAAAAGACCAACAAGGAAGAAAGCAGGGTCTGGAGGGATGTGGCCACAAGCCAGG